TGTGTCTGTACATTGGCATAACAAGACCTGTTAACTGACCCACTCCGTTATGTCCAAAACTGAAGTCTGTAAATCCATGGTTGGTAGTTCTCATCTTGTTGAGAAAGATATTAAAATTCATGGAATTGTTATTAAATTTTGATGCCAGAAGATGTTAGGGTTTGACAAGAAAAACTGAAGATTCATGCTAAATTTTTGAGAACTATGATTCTGTACATTTCTGGAAACCCAAATTTTAAAGCTAGACAGGCAAAGAAATGGATTGCTACAGTGGCTAAAAAATGGCAAGCCCATCCCTTCAAATGAGTTTATATGGGTTTGGTTTGGTTTGGTTTTGTTAGTGGGCTCAAAAGGAATGACCAAAAAGGGTGATTTATTCTTTAAGTACGTAAGAGGGGACGATGCCAGAAAGAAGACCTGAAGCTAAAGGAAAATGCTAACACAAGAACAAAGAGGTCCTAGGTAGACAAGAAGAAATTCAAACTGTAATTCAGAATATTTCTCTCCTTTAGAGTAGGAGGAGTCTGGAACATCCTTCCAAGTCACATACCAAGATATCCATTTCATTAATTGTTTACATCATGTGTCTGCAATAAAAGACTAAATTCATTGACCCACAAAAGTCTATCCAAGCCTCCATTCCTAATGCATATCTTTCAGAAACCCATGCAATATTTTTTAGCTACCAAAAAGTTCCCTTTTGATTTAGTGTTTAACTGCATTTCCACTTGGGAAACTGCATTTTATTGCAGAGTTGGAATGTGTGCAGCCACTCACCCATTGGTCCTCTCTGTGCCATTAGCTGCAAGATAAGTTTCTTTGCTATTGGACATCTTTTGTGCCTGTTACTCCCAATTAGTAGAATCAAGTTATCTCTTTGCTGCTTATGCAATGAAGAGAGAAAACACTTTTAACTCTGTACAGCTTCCTGTCTTACTCTCCTGTGTCAGTCAGGTGACCCTCCTTTGAGTTCATTTCTGTAAACATGGATACAAGACTTCCATCTTTCTGGTCTCCAAGTGGCAAAGTAGTTCTTGCCTCTTATTTGCTTGTCTTAGGTATTGCACTGAAAGTTCACACGGAGGGAGTTTTCCATAAATCCTACTCTATATCATTTTTCCTGGAACAGAATCTTCCCTCCAGTGAACAGAGCTTGTGCTTGTCTAGGAATATCAACTTCCACCTGGCTGCATTGAAAATAAATAAAACCACTTTTTGCTACTTTTTTTTTTTTTTAACTAGACATAATGATGTCTTTCTCTTGTCATTATACAGTTGCCCATGAAACTTTGCATCAATTATTTTATTACAAACCTAACTTAACAGCCAAGATTTATAGTATCCCATAGATAATATTATTGGTTAGTATTTGATTAAGAATAAATTTCTATCTCCTAACTAAAAGTGATTTTAGTTTAAAAAAGCTGATTAAAGCTGATTTCCAAACCCTGATTTTCAAAATCCTTATATGTGGCTCATAGTACATACCTCTCTACCGAAAAACAATTTAAGATTTGTCATTGGCCCAGCTTCTGTGCCATCTATGTCTATGTCATCCACAGTCAATTGCATATAAAACTGGTTTAATTCAAATCACTAAGACAAATATGTTGAAAAAAATAAATGGAACCTGTTTTAATATAGCTGTCTTTACCAACGGTACCCCTCTACCTACCAAAACCAGGTAAGACTTCAACACTGGTTTTAGTGGTGGCTGGTATTAATGAGATTTATGTTTCCAATTCTTGTTGATAAAAATTGTGGATTAACAATTTTGTTATTTTATACAGAATTAATGTTACAGTAATTTATCTGTAGTTCCCTAGGTAATTTCATTTAGTATGTGAACTACAATGGCAGAGCTCCAGTCCTTTTGAACATCCCAATTTTCTGTATTTCATTTGTACAATGCAAATATAATGATGTGAACTCTGTTATCTAGCAAGTTGCTAATTTTTTGTTGCCAATTGAATTTCTTAGCCTGGCAGAGCAGTATGAAATACTAACCAATTAGGTTGTCAGCATCTGTTGTTATTATTAGAAACAATAGAAATTTTGCTGTTTGTCATGTAAACACTCTCTAAATGTCCACTTGTTTGAAACCAAAATAAAATATATTTCAGTCCTGAGTGTATATACATATATATATATATATATATATA